CCTGCAGTTCAACCCATTTAAAATGTCCCAGTAGCACAGGGGAGAGCAAAATGTTTGCTAGAATCTGGTTAAAGCAAATAGATTTTTTTTTCAGCAAATTTTTAAATAAGACACCTGGAATAATGCGATGTTAATGAAATATTAAGATTTGAAGCTCAGATTTGGTCAACTTTGCGGACAAGAACCACACGTCACAGATGAGTCGCTCAAAGACAAGAAAGTGAAAAATCAGTGGAAAGTAAAATGATGAAATAATTTTGATTTAATATCACGTTTCTGAGCTCAGACTTGGTCGAGCTTTCAGACAGAATATATAAATCACAGATGAGTAGTTCAAAGACCGCTGGGAAGTTGAAAATCTGCAAATTCTTTCCATTTTTAAAGTTTCTGGCTCCAATAAATAATGTCATTTTTGGGATATTTTTAGAAAAGATAACACACTTTTTAAACCCCAAACTTCGAAAAAAAAACCCAAAAAAACCCTCAAAAATTCAATGTATTTTTAGCACATTGTTGGTCGCACTGGAGTCCGAAGTTAAATTGAAAAGAATAAAGCGATTTTGATGAAATACCACAATTTTACGCTTAGTTTTACGCTTTTTTCTGCTCAAACAGCTTAGATTAGTGGAAGGATGAACGGAGAGTTTAAAAAATGTGACGATTTTGTCTGTTTTCACTGTTTCTGGCTCTGATGTACGTTGGCATGTAGAAGCCAATAACGTAACAACAGCCGATGACGTAATAAATGTGCACTTTTTAATAATGCAGAAGCCAAAAACATAATAACTGGTCAATAACATAAAAACAGTCCTGAACCATTAACGTAACATCTGTTGGCCAAAAGTTACAACGTCTTTGGTTCAGGACTTTTATTACGTTATCAACCGTTATTACGTTATTGGCTTCTACATGGCGTTTTGGCAAAGACAACACGTCAACATGGCTAAAACAGTCGTACAGCCGAGATAAACATGGTGAACATGTTGACATTTCGGCTACATGTTGAACTGATTTCTGTACGATATCAGGTATGTGCATTTGGCATTGAGTCGGGATGTGCTAGTTTGGGTTAATCTGCGACACAGAACCACCACACTGGACCAAAAATGGCAAATGACAGGATTTGCCTCAAATCAGTGCCACAGAAATCAACCTTTGCGGTGAAAACAATCCCCTCGGCTGTGGCGGTCCACGTAAGTATTTTGCGCTCTTATTCCAGAGTTGCCGTCCACAGCAGAACCAAGACTTTCCTCCGCCGTTTTTCTTTTATTTCTTTCTTCTTGTCCTCGAACTTGTTCCCGGCTCTTGTCAGACGCCTCAAGTGTTACTATGTATGGAGAATCAGGCCGAGTGAACCGGTCACCTGTCACATCCAGAGCGAGCGGCCGTCTCTCCCTCCCCTCCCCGTGGTGCACCTGTGGCCGTTGCCACGGCAACGGTAACCCGTTGACCCATCGGGGGGTTTCCGGCGACGGGGTCAAAATCATCCGCACCTGCAGCCGAAGGAGCCGTCCGTCAAGCCAACACCTGCCATCAGGCTCCGGACGGACTCGGAGCGCCGCGGAAATTAGTTTAAAGTCGGTGGGTGTGTTTTTCTTTTTCTTTTTTTTTCTTCCCACTTTGACTGAAGATGTGCAGACGTGTTCTCCCCCCTTTGAAGAATCCGCCTCACGCTATGATACAAAACATCTCCACAAAGCCTCAAGTGATATCGATCACACGGTTTGAAAAGCAGAGGAGACTATCGACTGCGAGAGGCACATTCAAAGAGACAGCTGTCAGAGTTGCACTTTCTCATTTATATACTTTTCTTTTTCTTTTTCTGGCGAAGCTGATTGTGGTAAACGCGTCCACTTTGCAGGAGACCTTTATTTAATCCACGTAAGATTTGACAAACTTCCATTTACTAATATACCAGACACAATTACATGTAAAAATAATAATTATTGGCCAAGTTCTGTATTCCTGAGCCGCACGACGTGAAAACAAACAAGCTCTTTGTTAAATTATTTGCTAAATTTATCCATTTGTTCATCTCATATTAATGCGTTTTTTTTTTTTTGTTCTAACTATTTCATGTTGGTGCAGCGACTTTGAACTCGCCCAGCGTGTTTGTCTGCAGGTTGCTTCGGGTTCTGAGAGCAGAGATCAGAGGAAAAAGGCTGGAGGTCCACCGAAGGAGAAATGTTTTCATCTCCAGACGGGTTTCTGACTTTACAAAGTTGGACTTAGAGTGTTAAACTTGAAAGAAATCGGAATTCCTGAGTTTCTGCTCGCCGTGAAAAGCTGCTCGATTTGTGCTTTGCTTATGAGAATCTGGCTGTTATTCTCCATCTTGTGTAAATATATTCAAGTGTTTTGTGTTTTAGAAGTTCGACAATTTGAGCAATTTCTCACAAATACGACGAAATAAGCTTCAGATTCAGCCGACTGCAGAATCTTGTTTAACCAGCTCGCTTTTTTGTGTTTTTGTCTTTAAACCTTTAATCGTTTGGCGGCGAAGCTTCAAGATGAAACCTCCAAACTGACGCTGACGACATCCAACATCTCGCCGACACAAGAAAATAAATAAATATGTTTCTGTCAATCTGACAAATCTCAGTCTGATAGTTTCCTCCCTGTGGTTTAGTTATTCAGACTAAACAAAGAGGTTGAAGTTAATATTTGACATTTTGTCACTAGTAGTTTATTGTATGGATTATCAGAATGATTTAATTTACTTTGAAGCTTTGCTCATTATAAGGCCGAGCCCTTTTTACAAAACACTCCAGGTTATCCAGATGTTCCATAATTTGATATAATATTTGCAGATTTTGTACATTAGTCTTGACATCAATAATAAAACATATCTTTACATGTATATCACCATAAACTGTTTACAGCAGAGATTATCTTTGCATAATTCTGATGCAGAGATTGTCTGGAATCAGGAAATATCGGAACTGGAAACTAAAAAAAACGAATTATTTTACATTCTAATCACCTACAGGAGAAACCAACCAGCCTGTCTGGGATGTTGGGATGACCATGTGTGATGCAGTGATTAAACTAGATGTACATTATGAACTAGTTTTGTTATGTATTTTGATCTACCGGGGCCTCCGTAGTCAAAAAACCCAAAAGGGGTTAGGGATAATCTGCTGGACTCCTTTTGTTGTTAAGACAAACGTGTCTGTTGCACCGTTTATTAAAAGAGCAACGCTGCGACTTCGTCTGGGTCTTGTGTTTATTTTAAGTCACCGTAGTAGTTAAGACACAACAGGTTTACTTGTCGCGTCATTGGAAAGTTCAGCTTCATTTGAAAGATGCTGCAACTTGCTGCAATGAAAAGTTTGAGATGCAAAGTTCAGATTTGGATGCAAAGTGCGTCACTTGGGTTCAATGTGCTAAAAGTTATGAGATCGAGCTTTCATGTGCTTTAAATTTGAACAATTCTGAGATACAAAAGCATTTTTAAAACACAAACAAATCACCATCAGGTCCACTGTCTTGCTCTCGTTGCCTTTTGCCTTCACCCTCCTTTTCTGCCACCGATCGACTTCTTCTATCATCTCTATCGTGCCGTTTCTTTCATTTTATTGCACAAATAAAAAGAGTTTTTCTGTCGCACAAACAAGCGACTAGCATCGTTAGAAAGCTCAGGTGGTGCAGTTTGGTTTGATAGACGCTACAACCTGCCGCAATGAAAAGTCCAACTGCCCAAGAAGAAGGAAAGCAAAGTGCGTCGCTCTGGTTCAACGTGTTAAAAGGTTATGAGATCGAGCTTTAGGTGCTTTAAACTTGAACAATTCAAAAGCATTTTTAAAACAGAAAAAGTAAATGTTTTGCCGAGAAATCCGTCTCCTCATCAGGGCCACTAATCTTGCTCTCTTCGAGTTTCACCTTTTTTCTGTCGGCTATCTGCTTTCTTTTCATACTTATTTGATTGATTGATTGATTGATTGCAGCCACCGTGTGTTATGTTGTGTATCGCTGGATGCATACGGCACAGTGTTCTACATATTTAATATAAGTGGTCTGCATGATTTTAAAACAGAAAAAAGTAAACTTCATGCAAACATCATCAGGTCCACTAACGTTGCTCTTGTCGCCTTTGGCCTTCACCCTTCTTTTCTGCCACCTTTCGGCTTCTTCAATTAATTCTCTGGAGTCGTTTCTTTCATTTTAGCGCCCATTAAAAAGAGTTTTCTTGTCGCATAAACATGCGACTAGATGTTTAAAGCTCAAGTCGTGCAGGAATTCAACTGAGAAGAAGGGTTAGGTTTTTGAAATTTGTCTCGGTAACTTCCCCTGCCGTGTCCGATGACGAAGCAGTTTGGGGACTTAGGACGTCCACGGAAATGCACTGGCCGTCACACGTTGTCAGTTCTCTCTGGTTCCTTCTAGTCATGGTTAGCGTCATATTATTTTCTGACTTGCTCCGTTAGGTTAGAGTTTGATCTGAAATTTGCTCTTGAGTAGAGATTGTAGTCTCTTTCTTTAGGGTTAGTGTGCTGCTCAGGTTCGACGTGTGAAAAAATTATGAAATTGAGCTTTCATAGGCTTTAAATTTCAACAAATCTGACGTTCAAGCATTTTTAAAACAGACAAAAGCTAATTTCTTGCAAACAGTCCTTCTCACCATCAGGTCCACTAATCTTGCTCTCTTGCCTTTTGCCTTCACCCTCCTTTTCTGCCAGCTATCGGCTTTTTTTTGGTACTTATTTCCTGTCGATTGCAGCTCCCGTGCGTTATGGTGGATGCATACTGTCCAGTTTTCTGCATATTTATTATAAGTTCAAACAGAAAAAAAGCACATTTCTTGCAAACAAATCCCTCTTTCCTCTCGTCTATCTTCATCCATCCTTTCCCCATCTCTTCTCCCTCTGCTTCCCTCTCCCTCCCTCCCACCTAAAATCTTTCTTTCTTAATCTCTTCATCTAGCTTTTTTCTTTTTTCTGTTTCCTTATCCCCACTGCACACTCCAACCCCCGCTGCCCGGCCCTCTGCGGTGCACTGACCCGGCCCAGGGCTGATCTGGTTGTCGTAGAGGTGGATGTCATCTCCGCAGGCGATCGGCGAGTCCTGTCCCTCCTCTCGGCCCTCGCTGCCCTCCTCCTGCTCCGCCTCCCGCTGCTCTGGGGACACAACAGCACAGGGTCACCTCCTGGACCTCAGCGGCCACCGGGCAGGGCGGCAAACCCACCGCGGTTGTTACCGTTTTCTGCAGCCGAAGCAGCGAAAACGAGCATCTTTCAAGACTGTGAATGTTCAAACTGTACAGCAGAATACAAAGAAGTGAGCTTCATGGAGGCACACTTACCCCATACCCATGTGGCTCAATTGGGAACGGTGTGCTTGGACTTTTGGTGGTTATTCATCGTACCGTTTTTACGAATTTCGTAAAAATCCCCATTGAAATGAATAGGAAGTCACCTGCACAACTGCCAAAATTAGGCCATCTTTGAAACCCCGTCGCTCTGCCATATTTTACAATAGAACCTCCATTTAAAGTTTAAACAGGTCATAAGGCTTTGAATGTTACTCATTTCCATCTGTGCTTTGATATCTTTTACAGTTTTTACGCAGTCACAGTTTAAGTTTTATGACTTTCTTGAAAAATTCCGGATTCGAATTTTGACCAAAACACTTTTATGATAAAAGATGCAGATAACCTTGTTTGCTTCTCACAATTTCTTCTCTACATGAACAATTTATACATAAAAATCTTGGCTTTTTTGTCCTCTTTCACCCAGTAGAAGTCTCTTTGCTGTAGGACTTACGGTTTTTTAATAAATCACTTCAGAGCTCAGAGAGCGTCGATCAAACTCATTGACTTCCATCATATCGGAGCTCACAAGTTTTGGGCAAAAATGAAACGGTGAGTCTCTTTAATCTGCCACCAAATCTGTATAAAACACCGTACGGACATGAAAACACATCAGCGTCTTCAAACAAGATCCTGCTTCACACGGTGAAAGAATTCTTTCGATACAACCGGTAGTTTTTGAGCTGTGAGCGTTTGTTCGAGGGTCTGATCCTCAGTCTGCTGCTCTGCTCACTGCAAGCAGCCAGAGACTCACAGCTGATTGGCTGATTGATACACTTTCAAAGTAAAAGCTCGGGTTTGTGAAACATATACTTGTATAAATTACATCTTATGTATAAATATAAACCGGACTTATTTACTGGTAGAAGCTGCATCGGCAATCTCAAACTATTGTTATTGTTGGAGAAGTTCTCCACAAGTAAATACAGCATCGTTTGAAAAAAACACAACACCAGCATAATGAGTAGAAACTCCAATTATGGGACAGTGAAGTCCTGTCAGAATAGTGCACAAGAAAAACTTTAGACAGAAATTAGTACAAGAAATTATGCTTCCTCCGTGACAACTTCTCTGACAGTCAGCGAACCGTCCCGACTCCGTAACAAACATCTGACGCCTGAAACTAACAACAAAAAAAGCCTTAAAATTATATGCAAATATTGTTTCAGTGTCGCTTCAAGTATGACGAAAGGAGCTTATTTGTCAAGTATGTTCTCACATTTCAATCCAGATTTCCATTTCATAGGATAAAGACATCACTGTGGTGAAGTTTGATATTTAAAACCCAAAGATGAGTCAGAAAACCTTTATGGT